TTGTTTCTGGAAGACAGGTCACATTCAGCCCCTCTGGGACAGGATCTGGCCCTCCCTCCTCTGTGCAGAGAACCTCGTCCGCCCAGGGTGCTTCCTTTCTCGGTCCAGCCAGGGCTGGACTAAGAGATGCCTCAGGCCTGCACCCTGGGGCCAGCCTGGGGGCAGTGACCGAGGGCCAGGCCAGCTGCACTCCCAGGGAGGTGTCTGGTAGGGCTCTGCAGGTGTGCACTGGGGTCTGTCCCTGTAAGGTCCTCCTGGTGAACATTCACAATTGGAAAAAAATCCTTCAACCTTGTGCCCTGGACTTCCACTTCCTAGGTCTGTAAGTTTGGAAGCAAGACCAGTGCTTGCCCGAAATGGGAAGCTATGGGCATCGGACTCAATGTAAATCTGAAGAGTAGAGGCTGGAGGCCACACAGCCTGTGGCAGAAATAGGCATGTGACTTCAGGTCCAACTTGGCCACTGGCAGGCGGGGTGATCTTGGGCCGCCAGAGAGGAGAGGCAGACAGGGCTAGGCCCAGGCTCCGGCTCACCATGGATCCGGGCGAAGCTCTTGGTGATGATGGCTCGGCCCCCGAGGTGGCGAGGCTCAAGCGCTGCATGCTCCCGGCTTGAGCCCTCGCCATAGTTTTCGTCTCCAATCACCACCCACCGGATGCCGTGTTTCTGTCAGACAGGTGAGGGTGTGAGGGAGAAGGGGGCCCCGCTGCCTCCCTGCCTGCTTCCCTCGGGCTTCCTGAGGCTCACAGGTCAAGGGGCTAAGGGCTCCTCAAGGTCAGGGGAAGTCAGAGATGAATCAGGCCCTCAGGAGAGCAGTGATCAGAACGTGGGCCCTGGTCGGCTCCAGTGGGCACAGGGAGGTATGACCCACCCCGCTGGTGCTCAGCACAGAAGCAAGCTGTGAGCAGAGGGCATCAGTGTGGGTGCAGAGCACCCCTTCCCTGGACCACCCTGCCTCCCCACCCCTGACGACAACCCACCTTGTAGTAGCGGGCAGTGTCAGGAACAGGACCAAACTCCTGGGTGACGGCGTTGCGCACAGAGTTGGCCTTGCCATTTTCAATATTGATGGCACCAATGAGCAGGTTGTTGGAGATGTTGTCCAGGTGGCCACGGAACTTTAGCCAGGGGCCGGCAGCTGAGATATGGTCCGTGGTACACTTCCCTTTGACCTTGGTGGGTGAGCAGAGGGGATCAGGTCAGGCCACGGCTCTGGAGGCAGTGACAAGGGAAGCAGGCCCGGCTCGGGACGTGTAGTCTGCAGTCCTGGTTGCCACTCTGGCCAAGAGGGCTCAGGTGAGGCCACCGCCTGCCCTTTGAGGCCTTGGGCTGCTCAGTGCCATCTCCAGGACAGGACCCTCAAGAGGGCAGAGGCTGGTCAGGGAGGATAGATGTCGGCTCTCTCTCCCTTCAGGCCTCGGCCCACAGGTAAGAGATGCCCAGGCTCGAAGCCCAACTACTGACCTTACGTGGGGCCCAGGGAGGTTCTGGGTCCTGGCTGGTGACTGATCAGTTTTACTTATCACATGGTAATAATGGCGGTGTCACTGCCAGGAGACCTTAGTGAATAGCACACATTCACGTCTGACATGTGTCTGAGGCGTCTGGACCCACCACAGGTTTGTGTCTGCTCAGCCCCCACACAGGCCATCCCCATTAACGCCCAACGTGGGAACAGAGGGATCAGTGGCTCCTGGAGCCTATCTGGTCAGACCAGCGGTGGGAGGTTTGGGGCTGCGGTGCAAGGTACCTATGTCCTTGCCCTCCCTGTGCTGACTCACTGCCCACACCCTTTGGAGGAGGCACCGACCAGCTGCAGCCGAGTGGCTGAAGCCCGACAGCAACAGGCCAGCTCTGCCAGGAGACATGGGGAAGGGGACGCAGCAGCATGTGCCCTCAGTCCCCTGAAACCGAGCCTCCCTTCCTGCCCCCAGCCCTTCCTGCCGGCTGGGCGGGTGCCCGGCGGGCATCTGCATGCTGACCTTGATGAGGATCTGCAGGTCCTCCAGGTCTCTGCCATCCCACTTGTCAAAAGGCTCCAGGAGCTGCAGGCGCTGGCTGGTGGGGCTCACGTCCACCCGCTGCCCACTGCTGTCCTTAGGTGGGTGCTGGTAGGTGTCTTGCCCAGGGTCGAACTCCTGCAGCAGGGGACAGGGCCTGTCAGGTGCCCAGTCCTCAGTCCTCACATGGACGGGCCCTGGCAGAAGGCAAGCTCCCTGCATGCCAAGTCTTTCCCTCCCAGTGAGTAGAGCCGCTCCGTTGTCAGGGACGGTGCTGGCCCTGCCTGCCCAGGAGGGCAGACCTAGGGGCTGGAGGTGGCACAGGAAACGTCCTGCTCACGTGGCAGCGGGCAGGAGGCACGCAGGCCGCAGCCAGCAGCAGAGGGTGGCAGTGCCTGCTCACCATGCGTGGCAACTCGTCTGCATTCGGAGCTTCCAGCCTGAACTTCTTGCCGTCCTTGCCTGTCAGGAAGTCCTTCTCTGGGTCGAACCTGAGGGTGCCAGCAATGGCCAGGGCTGTGACGATCTGCAATGGAAGTGGCCAGTCTGTTGGTTAGTATCGAACCCCGCTCCCGTGCCCCACCCGGCAGAAGCCTAGACCGAAGCCTAGGCCCACTGAGAATGGAGCCCAGGCAACGTCAAGTTCTCCTCAGAACCTGCCTCCCTCAGAGGCTGGAGCTCGTCTGCCTCTGAGGCTGCAGGCCACTGGACCTGCACCACTGGCCTCCACCACTCCCATGGGGGCCTGGCCTCAGGGATGGGACCGGCCCCCTGCTCTCGGGACCCCTCTCCCCTCCCCAGTGCACTGCCCTGGCCCAGAAATGCAGCAGTTCCCAAATGGGCACCGTGCTAGAAACAAGGAAGGGGCTGTCTCCTCCCTCGTTTTTAGCAAACAGTATTCTGCTAACAGAAGGCGAGCCCCCTGCATGCCAAGTCTTTCCCTCCCAGTGAGTAGAGCTGCTCCGTTGTCAGGGGCGGTGCTGGCCCTGCCTGCCCAGGAGGGCAGACCTAGGGGCTGGAGGTGGCGCAGGAAGTGGGGAGAGGGGCACTGGGCTCCATGTTCACAATGAGGCCTCCTTCCCGGCTCGGCCACACTGCAGGTGACACTGACAGGACCCTGGGCACAGAGAAGGAAGTGACCTGGCCAAACCCACAGGGCTGACATCTGTCCTGGGTGGCGATTCTGAGCTCCAGCACCAAGAAGCGTGATGAGGGGGCTGGTGAGGCTCGTGGCTCCTGGGTTTCCACTTGGACAACCCCTGGCCCTGCGATGCCAGCCCTCCCTCAGCAGCCCCCTGGGGTCAGACGCCCTTCCCCAAACCCCATCTCCCTCTGCCTCCCCTGGCCAACCAGGGGCAGGGGCCCCAGAGGCAGTCTCACCTCTGGGGATGTGACGAAGGCATGGGTCTCAGGGTTGGCGTCATTGCGGCCTGTGAAATTCCTGTTGTAGGAGGTGACAATTGTGTTCTTCTCCCCCTTTTTGATGTCCTTTCTGCCAGGTCAGAGGAGACAGGGTTAGGAACATCTAGCCTTGTCACCTGGCCTGTCCTAACTCATGACAGAGGAGGGGGGAACCAGTCCTCCTCCCTGGGCTCTCACAGAGCAGGGGGGACCTCAGAGGTCACAGAGGTTTGTGTGAGACCACAGGTAACACAGGCACAGCCCAGACCAAAGCCTGAGGCCCTGACCCTGGCCACTGCCTCCTCTCAAATGGCCCCGCCAGAGCCCCTGGCTGTGGCCATTAGGATGAGGCCTTGTGGGCCCCTTCCTGCCGGCCCGGGCTTCAGCCAGGTGGCCACTCAGGGCTATTGTGGGCTCTTTATTTCCAGCCAAACTTTCCAGTTCTGCCTGGCACTCTCCTAATGTCCAACAGCCCCTGGAGCTAGAGGCCTTGGGTTGAATCTTTCTCCACCCCAGTAAGTGTCACCCTCAACATCTGGGGCTCTGTACCCCAGGACACACAAGGGGCTGTCTTATATGAGATGTGCCTCTCACCTGTCCCACTGGCCAATGCAGGGGCCACAGGCGTTGGCCAGGACGATGCCACCCACATCCCTCAGGATCTGTGCCTGGGGGCGTGGGTAGAGAAGGACAGAATTGTCAGAGGCTGAAGGGAAGGGGTAATTCAGCAGCTTGAGTGACAAAGAGCAGGAATCCTGGGCCAGGTATGGGAACCTGTACCAGCCCCTGCTGACAAGGCTGTGCCTTATCCCTCCCTGAAGCTACATTACTCAGCAGTGGGTGGAGGCGGCCAGGGGCACGGGGGCACTCACATAGCCATCCCGCTCAATGGTGGCGCGGATCTGCTCAGAGCCTGGTGTGATGGTGAACTGGGATTTGCACTTGAGTCCATGGGCCAGTGCCTGCTTGGCCACAGCTGCTGAGCGCCCCATGTCCTCATAGCTGGAGTTGGTACAGCTGCCGATCAGACCTGGTGCATTGTGGGTGGTGGGGCCAGGGGTCAGGACCAGAGGCCTCCACCTGACCTTGAACTATCCAGACCTGGTTGAGAGTTCACCAACTATGCTGGACCAGAGGCTGTTCTTAACAGAGACAAGTTGGAAACAACCTAACTGTCCACCAGGCTACTCATGACCCAGCTATTTAAGGGAAGATAATGTAGCCACTGGACAGGACCCCGAACACAAGGTGGTAGTGTAATCCATCTGACAATAAATGCTGTGCGTGTGCATGCACATCAGCAGGCCCCCTTATTAAAGGACCAGTGCAGATAAGGTCTTCCAGAAGATGCTAGTTTGCTTCTTTTATACTTGCTGGCATTGGTAATTGCTTTACAATCAGGGGAAGAAAGAGGTTTTTTTTTAATGTCTATTAGTTATTCAAGAGTTCAGTAAAGACCAGATGACATCACATTGTCTATAGATATCAAGACAGTCTCTTTGATCAATTCAGTGACTTATTTCTTATTAAACCAAAGATTTTTAAATTTCAACTAATACAGGTGAACATACCATATAGCACTACTTTATGTCAGACACCGTGGCAAGCTCTTTTCACATACTTGTCTCTCCTCCCAACAACTCTAATAGGTAAACATAGTCACCCCCATTTTACAGATAGGAACTGGGGCACTGGGAGGTAAAGTAACCTGCTTAGGGTCACCCAGCTGTCAAGTGGCAGGGCCAGATTGAGACCCAGGCCAGCTGGCTCCAGGGTCAACGCTTCAGCCATGGTACACGGTACCAGCAGCAGGTGCCAGTGACACTGACATGCAGCTGTCCATATGTGTTAGGCATGTGAAGTGGTATCAGCCATCACAGTTGGTATGAGGAAAGTGTGAAAAATAGAAAAATACACATCAACATGTGCATATACATAGAAACAGTATCTGCCTCAAAGAGACAGATTAGGGGTGTTTTAAAATAATCTTGTTTGTCCATATTCTCTACAGTAAGCACATATTTCTTCTATACCAAGAAAAAGTAACTGAAGAAAAAATAGAGTATTTCAGAAAGTGCCTGATACCTTTAGGAGGTACCCCAGGGTAAGCACAAGCAATTGTCTATAGCCCTGGGATGGGATTTGCACTTGAGTCCATGGGCCAGTGCCTGCTTGGCCACAGCTGCTGAGCGCCCCATGTCCTCATAGCTGGAGTTGGTACAGCTGCCGATCAGACCTGGTGCATTGTGGGTGGTGGGGCCAGGGGTCAGGACCAGAGGTCTCCACCTGACCTTGAACTATCCAGACCTGGTTGAGAGTTCACGAACTATGCTGGACCAGAGGCTGTTCTTAACAGAGACAAGTTGGAAACAACCTAACTGTCCACCAGGCTACTCATGACCCAGCTATTTAAGGGAAGATAATACAGCCACTGGACAGGACCCTGAACACAAGGTGGTAGTATAATCCATCTGACAATAAATGCTGTGCGTGTGCATGCACATCAGCAGGCTCCCTTATTAAAGGACCAGTGCAGATAAGGACTTCCAGAAGATGCTAGTTTGCTTCTTTTATACTTGCTGGCATTGGTAATTGCTTTACAATCAGGGAAGGAAAGGTTTTTTTTTAATGTCTTATTAGTTATTCAAGAGTTCAGTAAAGACCAGATGACATCACATAGTCTATAAATATCAAGACAGTCTCTTTGATCAATTCAGTGACTTATTTCTAATTATTAAACCAAAGATTTTTAAATTTCAACTAATACAGGTGAACATACCATATAGCACTACTTTATGCCAGACACCGTGGCAAGCTCTTTTCACATACTTGTCTCTCCTCCCAACAACTCTAATAGGTAAACATAGTCACCCCCATTTTACAGATAGGAACTGGGGCACTGGGAGGTAAAGTAACCTGCTTAGGGTCACCCAGCTGTCAAGTGGCAGGGCCAGATTGAGACCCAGGCCAGCTGGCTCCAGGGTCAACGCTTCAGCCATGGTACACGGTACCAGCAGCAGGTGCCAGTGACACTGACATGCAGCTCTCCATATGTGTAAAGCATGTGAAGTGGCATCAGCCATCACAGTTGGTATGAGGAAAGTGTGAAAAATACACATCAACATGTGCACATACATAGAAACAGTATCTGCCTCAAAGAGACAGATTAGGGGTGTTTTAAAATAATCTTGTTTGTCCATATTCTCTACAGTAAGCACATATTTCTTCTATACCAAGAAAAAGTAACTGAAGAAAAAATAGAGTATTTCAGAAAGTGCCTGATACCTTTAGGAGGTACCCCAGGGTAAGCACAAGCAATTGTCTATAGCCCTGGGCACATCCACCGGCCCTACAGCCTGTTACGCTGACAGGCTAGAGGGTGCTTACCCACTCGGATGTCCACAGGCCATCCCTCCTTCTCTGCCACAGTGCCTACTTCCGCCACAGGGTGAGCCAGGTCGGGGGTGAAGGGCCCATTGATGTGAGGCTTCAACTGAAGAGAGAAAGACACAAGGAGCACCAGCGTGGGGAGAACAAATCTTGGAGTGTGGATGGCCTCCATTCTTCTGAGGTTACCTGGCTCACACTCACCAACTCCTTACACAGGACCTGGGAGGCCAACTAGGAGGCTGGCTACTGTTTTTATGACTCACACTCACCCCAGGAAACACCTGAGCAGTGCGCCCTGTACAACCCACCGGCTCCCAAGACCTCGTCAACCCTGCGAGGCTGGTATTAGCTCCACTCTGCAGATGGAGCCGATGTGCCTTGCGTAAGGTCATGTAACTAAGGAGATGGCGGGACGTGGGATGAATCACATGTGACGTCCATTCTCTCCCACACTTCTGGAACCTTATGACAAAATGGACTTAAAGCCAGATACAAATGCATGTGGTAACACTTACCAATAAATGAGAAGTTTTTTGCAAAGTGCCAGGCATACAGTAAGCCCTCAATGAAAGTTAGCAATCGTTCTGTGAATTGGCTCATTCAGTTCCCACAACCACCTCAGGTTTTACATGTGGTGAAGTGAGGTCCACAGAAGCTGAGTGACCTACCCCGAGTTACAGCCGTAAGAGGCAGAGTCAGGATTCGAAAGCATGAAGGCTGGCTTCAGGGCCTAGACCCGTGACCACTCTGCTCTGCTGCCTCTGCCCCTCCAGCCTGCCTTTCCCCTGGCCTTCACTCTGGGCTGCGGGTCTCAGGGTGCCAGACCCTACTCAGGCCTGGGAGGCTCAGGTCTTGCCCTCTGAACTCTGATGACAAAACAAACTTCAGGGCAAAATCTTGGCTTCTACTAAAGCTGACACGGGGGCAAACTGAGCCAATTTCTTAATCACCAGCCAGCCACCCCTGTTCCCCCCTGACCATACATTCCCCCTGCCGCCTCACCCACTCCACTGCAGCCTGATTCAGACAGCAATCAGCAGGGACATGGGAACCGAAGACCCATGAGCCCTGTCTGGTGCAGGCAGAGACCTGCCCTGGCCTTCCCCAGGGCCACTAAGAGTCCACAGATGGAGCCTGAGTGCCTCAACCTCAGAAATCCCTTGGACCAGATTCCTTCCTTACCTCGTTGAGGTTAATTTCAATCACTTGGTCATAATGGCAGCCAGGGTCAGGTACCAAGTGATCCTTGAATTCATCGGCTAGTTTGGCAATGGCTGAAATCAACAAGGTAGGGAGAGTGAAGCATGTGAAACAGAAACTGGTAAGAAACTACCCATGCATCCACTTGAGCCAGTTACCCTGGCACCTGCCAAACCAGGCCCTGGGCACTGACCAGGCAAACAAAGGAACAGCGCACACAGCACAGGATACTGTCCCTGCCCTCAGGCTCAAAATCTAATGAAGGAGTTATTAGTGAGCCGGAAGTGACAGTGCGACACAACCGGAACACTGGGACACAGAACCACCAACTGAGCGAGGTTCGGTCAGGGAAGGCTTCCTGGAGATGAGAAGTACTGAGTTTTGAAGGAGAATTTACTTGATAATGAAAAGGAGGGCCTTCAGGGAGGACTCTGTGCTCAGAGCTTAGAAGCAAACGGCCAAGCCAGCCCTGGCCTCTGGCTCCACCCATGGCCCTTGCTCACTTCCTTCTAAGCTCCAGAGCCCTCCCGCAGGCCCCAGTTCCTCCTCTAGGCTTCAGGGAAGCCAAGCCAGACCTCAGGGGAGTTTAGAGAGAGGCTGGGAACACGGTTCTTGTTCCACAGGTTTCTGCTCCTCCCCCTGCTAGGGCAGGAATTAAAACAAGCAGATCAGTGTCTTCCGGAGCATCCTGTAGGGGGGACAGCAGACCAGGCCAGGAAGAACCAGCACTCAGACTAAATTCAGGTGAAACTAAGTTCCAGTCCAGAGGCAGTAATGTCTCAAACATATATGCCAGGCCCTCTGAAAAGCTGATGAGACCTACAGACGAGCTACTCGGGAGCAACAGCACACACATGACTTTACACCTTTAGGGACCTCTCTGGTCCTCAGAAGCCAGTCTGAAACAACACAAGGTTAAGGACCCCTTCCCTACAGGGAAAGGTAGTTCAAGGGTCTCCATGTAACATGACCTTTCTGCCCCCACCACCCTGCCCCTGCCAGCTTACCCTCTCGGCCTGTCTTGCTCAGGTATTTCTTCATCCTGTGGTTATAAGGGAACACTGAAGTGGTGGCCCCAATTTCTGCACCCATGTTGCAGATTGTCGCCATGCCTGTAGAGAAACAGCCTGTGAGGCTGGCTGAGCAGCTGGGCATGGGTCCCACACACCTACTAGATGTGCACACACATCTTCATGCCAGGGGAGCTGGCATTTTTTCTTCCCAAGCTCATGCGACCGTCTAATGGCAGAGAGCAGACTTGTCTCTGAAGGCCAAGGGTTAAAGCCAGGGCCAGTGAAAAAAGGCCATGGGGACCAGAGCTCAGTGTCCTAGCTCCCGAAGTGGCCGAGCTACTCTGCTGAGCAGAGTGAAGAGAATACAAGACTCAGCCCCTATAAGCCAAGTTCTAGTTCTGAGCCTGGCTCTTCTGCTAATTAGCAGACTAGATGGCCACCATGTACTGAAGACTGACCTGGCAAGAGCGCCCAGCCAGTGCTGTGTCCATTTTGCAAGTGAGGGAACTGGCTCAAGAGAGGCCCACGGTCAAGCCGTAAGTAAAGGGAGGTGCTGACATTCAGGTCTAGGTCCACCTATGTGCTGTCCAGGCCTGTACTCTTTCAGCCACACCATGGTGCTCTGTGGAAACGTTTCTGGCTCTCAGGTTTTCAAGCAATAAGACTAGAATGATGTCCACCTTCTGGGCCACACACCTTGCACAGAACTGGTGTGGCTTACTGGTGGCCTGACTGCTGGGAGGACACTGGCCTCATGGGGTTGCTATGACACAGGTCTGGGGCCTGTTATTAACTTCCTAACTGAGCTGTCAACAGTGGTAAGGCTACCTGTAGGAATGAGCCCCTCTACCCTCCATCACTGGAGGGGATCAAAAGCCAGTTGACAAGTAGCTCCATGGGGCTGAGGCAGGCGCCTGGGAACGTACGGGCTGGACCATCTCTAAAGCTTGTTACAAGTCCCTCTAGATTTTTGAGGGCCCAGGCGTTGAGGCCACCGCAAGTGAGGAGCAGAAGGGGCCAGCTCCTTCCTGGTCCTGGAGTCTAACAGGTGATAATCGCTATCCCAAGGGAAATGGGGAGGCGCCAACTCCAGCCAAGGGAAGACATGGGAATGCAGCTGCTTTGGAATAAAGCCGCGGCTGATTCCCCGTTCCCAACACCACCTCTGTCCTCTGTGGGACTCCTGGATCACCCAGGGCAGCCCAGGGCCACGGCCAGCGCCCAGAAGCAGGAGCTAGCTCGGCCCCTGACTTTGCGTAGCCACAGGGAAGTCCCTGCCCTGCCTGATGGGCCTCAGGCTCCACCTCTATTTAATGAAGGACCTCGACTAGACAACCTCCTTCTACCTCTAAGTGTCCTCCCAAGTCCCTAAACTAACTGGTCCAATTCTCAGGGGGGAGGCCATTCACTGCTTCTGTGGCTCAACCCCAGACCTTACCAAGCCCAGTGCGGGCTGAGGCCACATCATGTGGCGCCTCCCTCACCAGTGCAGGAGATGGAGTCGACACCAGGCCCGTGGTACTCCACAATAGCTCCTGTGCCACCTTTCACTGTGAGGATACCAGCCACCTTCAGGATCACATCCTTGGGGGAGGTCCAACCGGAGAGCGAGCCCGTCAGCTTCACACCAATCACCTGAGCAGGTGGGCGAGACAGCAGTTACGGGCCACGTGTGCCGTGTACTGTGTTCCGACCAGGAAGGCAAGGAATCTATCTGCTGGGATTCCCGCTTCTGCTTCTTTATCCCTGCTTCCTTCTAAAGACATTTGAGTCGGATCCGTTCCCTCATCCCTTCTGGGTCTCACAGTGTCCGTTCATCCCCACCAACTGCTCCCCTGCAGCCACCCCAGAACGAGCCCTTTGTTCCCTCACCTTGGGGCACTTCAGCTCCCAGGGGATCCCAGCCATGACGTCCACTGCATCAGCTCCCCCAACTCCAATGCAGATGCCTCCCAGGCCCCCACCATTGGGGGTATGGGAATCGGTGCCAATCAGAAGAACCCCAGGGTATGCATAGTTTTCCAGAATGATCTGAAAAAGAATCCAAGATCTTATATTTAAAAGCCGAGAATGAAGGTAGGGCCCAAAAGGGGTCAGCAAAACTGCCCCCTGCTGACACTGGGCCCTCCCCAGGTACTCCTTCAGGGCCGGGCCAGTAGGAGCCAGGGACTAGGAGACAAGAGGCCTGGGCTCAGGAACAGCTCCCACACTGTGTCCCTGCACCTCAGTTTCCTCATGTGTAACACAGAAAGGAATACTGACACCATCCTGACCCAGCTCTGTGGTGAGAACCTGATGACCTGGGATACGAGGAGTCCTGTGATGAGTGTGGCTGCCTAACGGTGTGCCTGCTGCACGTGGTGGACCGGCCAGGGTGCTGACTGTGCCCATCTGCCTCTCATCAGGGCACACGACTCTGTCAGGACCTGGCTCGAGGCTCCACAAGGAAGCACTGGGGGCCCAACGGGAGCGCCACCATGAGCTGCTCTGCTGCTGAGTTGAAAAGAATTGCAGGCAATGCCTCCCCAATCCCGGCAGCCTGAAGGTGGCACTGAGAACTGAAGTGACTTGCTCAAGGAAGATGACAGCTCGCCCCGCCTCGTCACCTTTCCTGTTCCACAGTGCCCCCTTCACTGAGGCCTCCTCCTAGCTGGCAAGGCACTGACCATGAACATTCCCCCAAAAACATTTGATGGAGGTTCTGGTCAGCTACCCCCGTGTGGCCCTGCCCACCATCCAGGCACTTGAGGGCTGCAGGATGCTTACTGGCAAGGCCCTGGGTCTGGGACTTGGGCAAGTCACTCCACCTCTCCAAGCCTTGATTTCCTCACTGTCATCGGATACAAGTACATAAAAAGTAGCTGCCAACAGTGCTGACCTTAATGGATCATTACAATGACCCAAGGAGATTGCGTATATTAAGCTATAATTGTGCCCAAAGAGGCATTATTTTTACTTATTTTTCTGCAGCGTGCGTGCGCGCGCACACACACACACACAAATACACAGACGCTGGAAGGGCAGATGCAATCAGAGATGTGAAGGCTCTACGGACCGTCAGGACTGACAGTGGTGGGCGGGCTCCTGGAATACCACAGAAACCCCAGGGCCTCTGCCTCAGGCTATGTATCTGCCCAGCATACTTGACAAGGTATGAAGGATCTTGCCTTTCAGGAGCACAGAAAGTGAGAAGAGCTGGGTCTTTCCCCAGGAGGACAGCAGCTGGCAGAGAGAAAGGCCAGCACAGAGGAGATCTAACAGACAACGGTTGGACAAGACGCTGTGCAACTCTCGTTCTTCTGACCTCCCTACCTCAGTCATGCACTAAGATTTACTATTTCATGTAAAAATCTGATCCATGAAGACCAGACATACAGAATTCAGTGTGGTCCACATCCAGGAGGGAAAGTTTGGTGCAGACCCAAGGACTGAAGAAAGCGTCACAACGAAGCTGTTGACGGTGACCTCTGAGGTCAGCTGGACATGGTTAGGTGGATGGGGGCGAGGGTTGGGGAGAAGAGTGTTTTAGGCCAGACTAACATCTAGAACATAAAGCTGGAAATTCAGCCCTCCATCCACACAACATGTACATGATGGTCTTATTCTGTACTGACCTCGCCCTTGGCCCAGAAATAGAGAGGAATTAATAAGCCATAGTCCCTGCCCCACAGAGTACATGGTCCAACAGGGAGAGCACTTGGCATACACTAGGGTCACAATATGAAGGGGTCCCACAAGGGGGCCCTAAGGCCAGGCACAGGGGAGTGCTGGGGGCTTCCCAGGGCAATCAGAAGTGGAGATGTGGTGGAGGAAGGACCTGCCAGGCGGTACAGTTAGCTGTTGGCCAGTGGCAGGGATGGGCTGCTATCACTCGTAGCCCAAAACTTTGGCCCAGGAGCTTCCAAAAAGCCCTGAGCACTTGTACTGAGGTGGAATGGAGGACACTTGGACTGGGGTGCCCTTCACGATGCTTAAAAGCCAAGGCTGGGTTCATCTGACTCCTAGTCCTGCCGCTAAGAAAGGCCTCCTGGCCCCTGCAGACTAATGTGACTTGCCATTCCTGGGCAGCCCCTTCCTGGCAAGAGTGATGATGGTTTGAAAGGGCAGAGCAGTGATCCGTGGGCTCCGGTTTCAGAGTGGAGCAGTGCTCGGAGCCCATGAGGCTCACATTACAGCCTGACTCAGCTCCTCTTGAAGGAGGCTGGGAAGCGAGGCCCACGATGGAGGCGGTGGGGGAAGGGTCACCTTGGAAGGTGCAGAGAGGCACAATAAGCCCGGTCAGTGATCCCAGCAGTCGCCATGATGGAAAGCTAAGCACCTGTCTCCCACACCACACACCACACACACTCTTGCATTCAGACACAAAATCACCTACCAATATAAAATCCATCCTTTGGGGGACCCCAGAAGAACTACCACTGGCTCACATGGACACAGGACCTACGGTTCCTACATCTCACAGAATACACCACAGGAAGGCCGGGAAGACCCCAAGGAGCACCACGTGCACGGAGTGGGGAGGCACTCCCCATGTGAGGGGAGCCCTGCCTGGATGCAAATCCTGGCTCCACGATCAGCCAGTTGAGTGTCCCTGGGCAAGCAGGTTAACTTCTCTGTGCCTCAGTTTCCTCCTCTGTAAGGTGTGGACAACAAAACCATCTACCTCATGGGGTCACGGTAAACACTGAGGTAGTTAGCACCTGCAAAGTGCCAGGTTAGTGCCCGGCACACAGTACTTGTCACATGCTAGCTCTCCATGCAACGAGGTCTAACACTTGTAGAAAAAAGCAAGACAAAAAAAAATCGTACAATAATAAAATGCTTAGAAGGTGGTGTGGAAAAAAGAAGTGTCAAACTTAAAATGTTGATTACCTTGAGCAGTCACGAGGGACCATTTCAATTTCTTACTTGGAGAGTGAGAATATATATCTTGACTTACTGAAAATTAACTTAAAAATGGAAGAGGAGGAGGAGGCAGAGGGTTGCCTGAGATGTCAAACAACTCCCCCACTGCCCTCCTGAGCCTTCAGGCCCTTGCTCCCACAGGCCTGGTGGTGCTCTCTGGTTCCCTAAGGGCAGCCTAGACCCTTCCCCCGAGAAAGGCAGGCCAAGCCTTGCTTTACCTGGTGAATGATTCCAGAGCCAGGCCTCCAGAAGCCCACGCCATATTTGGCACCTGCAGTTGCCAGGAAATTATACACTTCCTGGTTTATGTCCTGTTGAGACAAATCAATAACCAGAGCATTAAAAACACAGTATGCATCTGGAATGACCCTCGCTCCTGCCCCCCTCCTGCCCTCCACCCTCCCTAAGACTCTGAAGACAGGCCCTCCTGGAGGCCTTCTGCAAATAATTCCAAAAGGGTGCTGGCCCATGGTCTCAGCTGGCTAGCCAGGGAAGAAAGACAAGGAAGCAGAGACACAGCCTCAGTTCTGTGACACCTGGCCAGGGAGTGCGTCCCGAACAAGTGCCTCCCCTGCCCTGGATCTCATTTTCCTTCTTTGTGAAGGAATTGGGTTACATCATCTCCAAAGGTCCTCTCTGACACTCAAGTCCTCAGCCAGGGCCAGGAGTGAGGGGCACGCCACAGCAGGATGGGCTAACTGGGACATGGTGTTAGGGGAGGGGGTTGTCAAAGGGAAGCAGTGGGATCGAGTGAACATCCTGGTCCCATTGTGGCTCACATGGGGTGTTGATTCCCCACCTGAGCCTCGGATGCCTCTTCTGAGGCAATGTCAGCAACCCTGGCTGATATTTGTTGAATGCCCACTATGCTAAACATCCTTACAACCCATCCCATGAGGGAGGGAAGGTATTGTCATTAAGCCCATTTTACAGATGCAAAAAGAGTCTCAGAGGCAAAGTAACTTGCCGGACACCCCAGAGTTAAACAGAGGAGTCAGGGCTTGACATCCAGCCTGTCCAACCACAGCACCTGAAACTGCATTTCTGTAATAAAATAAAGGTAGCTCCCTTAAAGGGAGGATGACATAAGATTACATCTCAGAACACCTAGGCCAGTGCCTGGCATGTCACAGGTGCTCAATACCTGAATAGGTTTGATGGGCCCCAAATGAAAGACTGTCAAAGACACCATATTCTTCTGAAATATGGGTCTCAACAAAACAATGGGATGGGCTATTCCCATTCTGCCTGTAATTCAGAAGTAGTTTCCTCAGTAGGTAGAGGTGGCTTCCCAGCACAGGGTTTATCTGGAAGATACGGCATGTTTCCGGACACTCCTGTGATAAAAGGGATGCGACCATGGTGGACTGCAGAGTCCCAAAGGATGGAGGAGGAAAGGAGGCTTGCTAAGCCTCTGGATAGGGGAAAGCCAGGCTCTAAGGCAGAGGAGGAACTCTGGCAACTCCCAGGGTCCTCAATAAAACACACTCAGGACCATACAACCCACCCTAAACACCTGAACCCAAATCACAACCTTAAACCACTTCATTTAAACTCTAGACCAAACGCACATCCTTCTGAGGGCCCGTGAGGTTCTCTCAGAGAAGTCTCTTTCTAATTAATAATTAACACATGGGCTTTTTCATTTACAAATCAGTCACTTATAATTGGTTCCAAGAGTAGGAGGCAGGTGACCATGTCTGGGTGCATGTATGTCTGTGCAAGTGAGAGAAGCAGCAGTGGGGCGCACCAGGGCGGCGCGGCAGAGACGTGGCCTGAACTCAGCTTCGACCCTCTCCGGCTGCTGGACAAGTCACTCGGACTCTCTGGACCCTAACCAGAGGGACCCTTCCAAATACATGTAAATCTGACCTTATCCCCCCGCTGCTTAAACCTTCAATGACCCCCTAGGATGGTGCCCACAGCCCTCAAGGCCCTGCCTGTACTTGCCCCTGCCCTCCTCATACCACACTCTCACACACAGAACTCCAGCCACAGGAGCTCCCTTCTAATTTCACATGCATCTTGCCTCAGGGCCTTTATATATGCCGTTCTGTTCAGTTAATATCAGCTTACCTGCTCACATCTCAGCTTACATGTCACAACTTCAAAGAGGCTGTTCCTTACCCTAGTCTAAATTGAACGTCTTTCTTATATTTCAGAGTCCTGTGCTTTCCCTTTGTAATGTATTTACCAATGGGCAAGTACCTACTTGTGTAATTGTTTAGCTGCCTACTCCCTACTAGACTCTAAGATGTGTGAAGGCAGGGGTCCTGTCTTGTTCAGCCTAAATCCCCAGCATCTAGCACACAGCCTGGCACAGAACTAAAGATCAATAAACACTTGTTCAATAAATGAGGGAATAAGCTCTGAAATCCTATGATTCTGTGAATGTCACCTCCAGAAGTGGATTCTAAATCGATAAAGTGAGGGCCAGTCCCTGAAGGCAGTGGCCCTGTTCTGGGCAGTCATCCCCAAGGCTGAAGAGGACCCAGTTCCTGGCCCTGCTCAGATCCTGGTACCACAGGAGCCCCTGTAATGTTACTGTCACCGCTGCTGCTAACATGGAAACCACTAGCCCGCAAGCTGGACTTTCAGCTGAGTGGAAAAGACCCACTGTGCAACCAGGACACCAACAGGCGGGCCAGGGTGAAAAGAAAGGGCTTGAATGGGAAAGCTGCCCTGAGAGTTTCCCATGGGCCTGAGGGGCTCTTTGGGCTGTGCTCATCCTGGGAGCTGGAGCATTTGCAAAGGCATGCCTCACTCTGTGCCCGGCTGGCCACTGCCCTGCCAACATTCAGCTCCTGCCAATGGCCCCCCAAGAGGGCATCTACTCCCACCACAGGGGGTGGAAAGGGTGGAGGTCCAGAGCTGGGAGAGATCTGCTCTTGCCAAGAGCAGGCACACACAAAGGTGCCACCAGCAGGGCCTGGGGGAAGGGACAGGGATTTGGTGCCATGAGAAAGGGTGTGGGGAGCTCAAAGAAAAAACTCTGCAGAGGGCACACAGTCCCTTCTACCTCATTAAGCAAAACTCAAAAGAAAAGAGCCTCAAAAGGAGGCCATTCACTAAGACAGCGCACCCGAGACTGGGGACCTAGCCCTAACCAGGCCCACGTGCAGCGGTGGGCCTGACTGTCCAGGGTCGGCCACCTCAAATTTACAAATAGGAACACTGTCCACCTTCCTCGTGATGAGGCCCCCAGGAATCAGCCAAGAGCCTGAGCAAGCACGTGACGCTGACAGGAAGGGCAATTAAAACTACTGTGTCCAGAGTGACTGGCAGTATGTATCAGAACCTGCTATCTGCATCATTTGTCTGACATAACAGAAAAATGACCAGGAAAAAAATACCTTTAATGTGGTAAGATTAAGGATGATTTTTGTTTTTTTAGGCTTTCTCTATATTTTCTTATATTTTCACAATGAACAAATGGTATTTTCAAAATTAGGAAAGAGCAAAAAAAAATTTTTTTAAAGAAAAGTAAACTAATGAGCCCATTAGAATTTGGACGCAATTCCCTAGTTTGAGGACTTGTCTCTGAACCCATGTCCCCCCCACTGTCCCTCCCACACCACCGTTTCAGCTTACCTTGGCCCGGCGCAGGTCTTTTTCACCCCCGACCTGGGCCTCGATCAGATGGTCACAGTGGATGGTTGATGGCACAGCCACCCGGGGCAACCCGCTGCTGATGAACTGCAGCATGGCCATCTGGGCGGTGGCATCCTGCATGGCCACCCGGTCGGGCCGCAGCCGCAGGTACGTCTTGCCCCGCTCAATCTCCTGGCTGGCGGGGTCATCCAGGTGTCCATACACAATCTTCTCCGAGAGGGTCAGAGGCCGGTTCAATCTGGGGGAGAGGAAAGGGTTGGCTGGTGCCTGGTGCACAATCCCCTGCCCGCCCACGGCCACTGCTTCTCTGTCACATGGCAACCCTGGCTGTGGGCAGGGAAAGGAGACCCCGTGCTCCACGAAGGTCCCTCTAGCACCCAGCACTCACAGGTGCTTCAAAATTACTTGATGAATAAGTAACAACATCACAGGAGGCGACAGGGTTTTGAGTTTTAAAGGTATTTGCTTTTCCAGCATACTGTTATTATCTGACGAGCATCTATTACATATATGTCTCACTGTTTCATCCTCATTGTATCCTTTGTTATTTAATAAAACAACCAAGAGTGAACAGAGGCTCAGCAGAATGGTGTTAGTGCTAATAGCTCAAGTTCACAGCCAGTCTTGCCTTGGATCCTGTACTTTCTCTGTCCACAGCCATCTCCCCTGTGCAATCAGCCCCACTAAGAGACAGAGCATCTACCCTAGTGCCCCCCACCCAATCTGCCCACCCTTCATCCACAACCCCCACCTCAGGTTATCCTATTATGCTAAAGCCTTTCCTTTAGGCCCATGTGCTCTCACCCCTCTAAGACAGGGATGGCTGTCAGCTCTCAGGAACAGAAACCTGGTCACCTTATCAGCCTCTTATCTCCTCCTAGACCCCTCACTTCCTTGTCAGGGCCAAAATGGCAATCCAAGCCTGGCCCTTGGGGACGGGCAGCCCCTGCCAGGACCCAACTGCCTCCTCTTCAACAGCCTTCCCCAGCAGACCTAGCTTGGCACAGGTAGCAGGTCACCACTGAGCCACCCACACGGACTGGGAGGCTCCTGATGCCTCCCTGCTGCTGCCCACCCAACCCGGCGGCCCCTGAAGCACAGCAGCCACCTATCTGCCCACCAAAGCAGTCTTGGCTGGAACTGACTCTGCCTCCCACCATTTGCAAAGCTTAGGCCAAACCTGCCTCCTGGAAGACACAGTTCCCCTTATACCCAACAAGCCAAGACAAAAATGTATCTGACTAGGAGTCAGCGGCTCTGGGCTCAGACCCGGCCCTATTACTAAACCCACTGTGTAGCCAGTTAAGCCACTGCCCTCCTCAGGGAGTGCCCCAACCCATCTCTAAATACCAGGGCTTGGACTGGAACCAGCTAGTACTAACACAGCACTTACTGTTTTTAAATAGCTTTACTGAGGTCTCACTGGCATGCATGCAGTAAGCTGCACATATTTGAAATATACAATTTCCTATGTTGTGACACATGTATACACCTGTGAAATCATCACCTCCATCAAGATAATGAACACCCCCAAAGTTTCCTTGTGCCCCTTTGTCATCCTTCCCACTTGTCCTTGCCCCAGGTCACAAGCTAGCAAATGGCAGAATTAGAACACAGGAGCCAAGCAGTGCGACTCCATGGTCTGTGTCCTTTACCTTGCTTTGTATTGCTTCTCAGTAACACCTGGAAAAGAACGGAGCTTGGCTCACACACAATAATGTTCAATTACCATCAGTATCGTTGCTATTACCAATATGACTGTGGAAAAGCAGAGGAACCTCCTTCTGCTGGCCCGGCTTCCAGCCCCTCATGCCCAAATTTACTTAACCCCCTGAGACAAGAGTTCCCTAAGGTGCAAGCTCTGCGGGCAACAGCGGAACAACTGACAATTCTGAAAATCTCTACAGTTCTGTTGTCATGAGAACCTTGAATAAAAATAGCACCGGCCTGAGGTACAGCCTGCCCCCTTTTGTGGCAGCCTCTCCAAGGCCGGGGTGCAGGCAGTGACTCACCACACAGAGCACAGCCCCTCTTTCCGGCTGGGCTGCAGGGGAGATGAAAAATAGCACATGGGTTTTAAAACCACAGACCTTGACAGCCAATGCCTGAGGTTGTATAAAAAAGCCTAACAATGCCAAAAGCCTAAGGACAGGTTCATCACCTCATTTCCTTGAGGATTAACTGAGGATGGCAAATGGGTCCTCGATGTCTGTCTGTCCTCTGCTTCACTGGGTGACGAAGACCCAGGTCCCAGGAACAGAATTAGAATTGGACCCCTTCTGCCAGAGACACAGGGTGGAGGAAGAGTCCCCTGCACGTCCCCTGGCCTTCTAAAACGTTCGTACATCTATCAGTCCAGTAGGACCTTTACAGAATAGCCTCCCTCAGCCTTCTTTCTGCCCCTAAGGGTCTCACTGGTGGCAGGCTGGCAGGCAGGCCGGACGACCCCGCTGCGCGGCTGCCTTCTGCGCAAGATGTTCAGCAGTATTCTTGGCCCCTACTCACTAGGTGTCTTGTGAATGGGTTTCAGCCCCGGGCAAGTTCATTATAGACTCAATGTGACCAAAGAAATGATGGTAAAACGTTCTTGGGGTGAAAGGTTATACCCAACTTTATTTCCAGGTGGCAGGTCAGTCACTAAAATCTCATTCACTCAAAGCGAGTCTGCATGCAGCAAGCTGGTCTCTGCCTCTGGGCCTCTCTGTCCTCACAGCAGCCATCCTCTGGGCCTCTGTCATCGGTGCTGCCACCACTCCAGCCTCTGCTCTCCTGCAGCCTTGCAGCCCTGCCACCGTGTTGCCCAGAGCACTGGGCGGAGCTCTTTTATAGAGTCAACAGCCATGTACTGCCCACAGGTGAGCAGTGAGCTAGTCAATCCTGGCCACAGGAACTCTCATTTTATCCACACTAGGTAACAGCAAATCAACAACCCCCTGAGTTCTGACAACCAAAGTGTCTCCCGACACTGTCAAATTCCCTGGGGGATCAAATCAACCTCAGCAAGAACCGCCAGTCGGTGGTGCTCTAAGGCAATGTGGAGAAAGTGAAGGTTCCTCTGGCCAGGATTCTCACCTGGCCCTGGTTGACTAGCTCACTGCACACATGTGGGCAATATATTGTTACTGACTCTATATAAAGAGCTCTTCCCAGGGCGCTGGGCTGCAGAGGGCAGAGATTAAGATAGTTGCAGGGACAGAGAGGCCCAGAGGCAAGGACCGGCTTGCTGCATGCAGACTTACTCTGAGTGGGTGGAATTCTGGTGACTGACTTGCGACCATGGGAATAAAGTTGGGAATAAACCCTTTCACCCCAAGAACATTCCATTGTCATTTTTCAGTCTCATTGAATCCATAGTGAACTTGTCCAGGGCTGAAACCCATTGGCAAGATGGGCAACAATGCAAAGGACATCACTGGCCTGTGCCAACCTGCAAAGTGCCTCAAGTTAATGGCCTTTCCCCTAATGCGGGGTTGGAATTAATAGGCAAAGGGAAAAAAATTAGGGGAGGGCTAATTTATAGGTAAAATTAAAACCAAAAAAATCCTCAGTGCTTCAAAGGGCAGACTTTTGGTTAGTTTTTCAAAGTAAAGGCTAAATGATGAATAATATCTTGTCAAGCTTATCCCAGAGCAAACTTCTGTGTTAACTGTCCTTCCAGGCAGGATGAACCGCAAGGTAAATCCTAAAGGAAAATACATCATTTTTTCACTGAGCCGTGGTTTCAAAGTTCTAAGAATAAATAAAGTATTGTTTCCTGGGGAAAAGTATTTGCATAAGGTCTGATTAGTGGGGACAGCAGTCAGAACATCAGCTGGGAAACTGGTAAGAGCATCTCACATTTTGATGTGCACTCAAGTCACTTGGGTTCTGTTAAGCTACAAATTCGGACTCGGAGTGTGTGGGGTGGGTTTAAGGTTCTGCATTTCTAACAAGCTCCCGGTGATCCTGATGATGGTGACTGATGGACTGCATTTTGAGTAGTAGGGTCTACACCACCTGAATCAGAACTGCTGGGAGTGGGGTTCATGTAGTTTTACAAGCTTCCCAGGTGATTCTAACGTGCAGCCCAGATGAAACCCGCAAGAACGCTAGAACAAATACCGGAAGGCACCAGAGCCAGACCAACATGGGCTTGAGTTCAGGTCCAACCACTCCACAGATGTATGACCGCAGACAGGATATTTCCTGTCTGACACCTGACTTATCTGCAAGGTGGGACAGTGGGCGTTAACAACAACCTACAAGAGGATGCTGAGGAGAACAGAAGTGACGTACGTGAAGTGTCTAGAACAGGACACTCAGATAGTTGCTATTATTCTGGCCACCCTTGATGGATGTTAATAGGTCCTGACTGTAATTAAGTGATGCCTTGCTGGAGGCTCTGCGGATAAAGACTAAGTCGATCCCTACCCTTAAAAATCAAGTGAGGATACCAGTAAAAAGCAAACAGTAGCAACACAGAGACAGCGTGGGATAGTGGCCTGAGCGCTGGACGAGGGCATGGAGACAAGGTCCTGCCACTCACCCCCCGAGTGGCCCTGGGCCAGCTGCTTCCCCACCCGAGCCCAGTCCTCAGCTGCAAACGGGTGTACTCATATTTGTTCTCCCGTCCTCTCAGGGTCCCTGTCACCAGGTGGGCAAGCACACAGCCCTATCTGCAGTCACTAAGGTCCAGGAGCAGTGCTGGCTGCTATACACCACCAGTCGCTACTCCTTACCCTCCCATGGCACCTTACTCATCCTTTGGTGCCAGCATCTAGCCCAGGACTGGCACCCAGGACAGCAGTGCAAAGATGGCTACCACTTTACCAAATGAGGAAAGGGAGATCCAGAAAAGAGAGATGCTCAAGATCCCACCTGAGCTTTCTTCCGGCCCTCCAGCCTGAACTATCCTCTGGGCCTATGCACTGCAGAGGAAATACAGCTATTTCTCCAGCCACTGACGTGACTGGTGGATCCCAGAGGGCTAGCAGTCAGTTAGTCTGTTCTGGAAAGGGTGTTTGGGAGGTTCACGCCATAGCACCAGTGAGTGTCAGAGACTTTCCCTATGGCCCATATTCCCAGGATTCTTGATAACACATTTATCCTTGTCAGAGAAAGTCCACCATCCTCAGCAGGGACCCTGGGACCGTAAATGCCCTGATCCTACCACCACTGTCAGCCATCCCTGCCAAGTGCCTCCCGTCCTGCCGGAGGGGGGTAAGCGACGTGCCCCGAGCGGTCTCCACAACCCCCCTGCTGCAGCCTTACCGTTTGCGCACAGTGTTAATGTTCTTCTCTAGCAGGTCATAGTGGATGTATTCATTGGGTTCAAAGTGGCTCATAGCCACCTTGGCCCGTTGGCACAGGACTGAGGCCACATGGTACTGACGTACACCCAGGGCTTTCTGCAAGAAGACAACAGCAACTGTCAATGGAATACTGAGGATGGTCCACCCCAAGGGGCAGCTCAGTGTGGTGGGGAGAAAAAAGGGATTAACATGTCAAGAGCTATTCGGTGACTGCAGCCTCTGTTTCCCCATCTGAGGCACAGGGATGATAGAATAGCCACAAGGAATACAGCCTATGGTGGCAGAAAGCACGAGGGATTTATAGTCAGAAATGCTGGAATCAAAATCATGTTCTATCAACTTAAGAAACTCCCCCATCATCTGAACTCCAGAGGAAGGGGTCATGGAGTTATAACCAGCTGCGGGGTCACAGAGGTTGTGGGGAGGTTACATGGGGACAGGAACATTCTCATTACATTCTAAAGCATCACCCAAATCGTAACTAATACTCTATCTGTGCTCTAAGCTCCCTGAGGGTTAGGATCAAGCCTTATTTGTCTTACTTATCTATCTGGGCTACCTGGCACAATTCTGAGATTCAATAAATAATTGTTGAATAGATGGAAAAATTAATGAGGAAAACCCTGGGCATGAGCTTTGAATGTTTCCCCATCCCTTCAAAAAGCTAACTCCCCTCGCCCTGAATGTGCAGCGGCTCAATGACGAACTGCTGATGGGCAGAAGGAAGCAAGAGTGAGTCAACATGACCTGAGTAGGTCATAAACAGGACAGCTTCTGCCGGGCTCTCTGACTGCTCTGGAGAAGAGAGCCAATATGCTAAGATGTTTTAAGCAGCCCTGGGAGAGGCCCGCCTAAAGAGGAATTAATTGAGGACTCTTGCCAGTAATGAGCACCAGCTCACCAGGCATGTGAGCGCACCGCCTTGCAAGCAAGCGTGCCAGCCCCGGTCCAGCCCTCAGGTAACTGCAGCCTCAGCCCACGTACGGACTACAGCTCTTTCAACAACGCTGAGCTAGAATCACCTAGCCAAGCTGCAACAAATTCTTGGCCCACAGAAACTGTGAAAAAGAAATGTTTATTGTTGTCTTGAACCTCTGAGTTTGAAGGCAACTATCTTGCAGTAAGAGATAAATGATTGTTATGAAGATCTGCATCAGTTAATTTTAAACAGTGACAGTCTTCACAGGATATATTGTGAAGAGAAGAATAAATGAACTGAAAGAAGTGACAGAGGGAAAGGAGCAGCTGTCCCTTCTAGACGGTAGTGTCCCTGTTGAGAGGGCCACACCACTGGGCAAGGGAACAGGCAACGCTCAAGCGACTACCCCAGGTTCCCTTTTCACATCACCTGGACATTTAAATCCAAACTCTGCCAATCCCAGCATCTGAAGCAGTACCAGTGCACAGCTGCCATTCCTGCCCAAGTCATCCAGTAGTGAGGGCAGACCCCATGAGGAAACAGCAGCCCCAACCACCAGCCACCTAGTGGGGAGGGCCCTCCACAGAAGAATTCAGATCCCCCTGCCCTCCAGTTCAAAATCAGCAAGGCACCCTCACTGTCTGCTCACTGGGGAGGTGTGTGAAGAACCCACCAATGACCCAGCCAAGGACTTCCAACAGCTTGTAGAGAGGGAGGAAGAACACGGCCCATGTCCGTGCAGCTGCAGCTCCCACGCTGCCACTTGAGAGGGGGGCCTGCACACAGTGGCAGAGTGCGGAGACCTGGGCCAAAGTCTGGCTTGCCATTTACTACTACCTGAGTCATCTTGGACACTCACCCTCTCTATTTCTCACAGAGCTACTGTGAGGATTAGGAGAGATGACAGGAAGTACTTGGCACAGTTTCCATTACTGCCCCTGTGCATTCAGAAGCATACACCCAGTCCCCTCGTGTTTTTCACACAAATGAGAACTATACAAGCTGTTTCTCATCTTGCTTTTTTCATTGATCAACATACTTTACAGCCTTCCAATATCTAGACAGAGATCTCTCTTCTTGTAAATTAACTGCCTGTGAAAAAAAGAAAAGCTGACCACCATACTAGGGCCCACCAAAAGATTTTGTTTTTTTAAAGACATCAGGTCATTTTTTTTAAATTTCAAGAACACATTCATTATGGAGCACACACATTTTATGGAGCATCTACTACTATGTGTAGATGTTGTGCAATAGTGCTTCTGAAGTATGATTTCACTACCTAGAGTTCATTAGTGCTTTTACAAAATACTTTCATATTTGACTCATGTAACATCCTCATGGAATTCACAGGTCTGGGAACTACTCACTATATTTTACAGATAAATAAACTTAACAAAATTCTATGGAACGTGGAGTTGCCATAAGACCCAGCAATTCTACTTCTAAGGATATGCTCAAGAGAACTGAAAATGTATGTTTATACAAAAACTGGTTCATTCATGTTCATAGTAGCATTATACCTAATAGCCTGAAAGGAGAAAGAACCCCAAGGACCCTCAGTGAGTGAATGAATAGACAAAATGTGGCACATTCATACAATGGAATAATATTTATCAATAAAAAGTAATGAATTACTAATAGATGCCTCAACATAGTCGAACCCTGAAAAATTGTTAAGTGAAAGAATAGACACAAAGGCCACAAACCACGTGACTCCATCTACATAAAATACCCAGAACAGACAAATCCATACATACAGGAAGTGGATAGAATAGTGATTGCCAGGGGCTGGGTGTGAGAGCCAGGGGCTGGGAATGACCGCCAAGAGCACGAGCCTCTCCTTGCGGCCCACCACAAGATTTTTAAAGCCTAAGTACTGAAAGTTCCATTAACTCTGGGACTCTCAGAATGGGCACTCTTGGAAAGTTAAGCTTTCTAACTCTATAACAACATCCATTAAATAAAACCAAGTTCAAAGCTAAACAAAGTATGCATCACCGTATCTGTTCTCCTTTGCTGTTTCAATTCCTGCTCAAGGACATACGAACATTTGTCCTTCCCCTTGTTGCCCTTTGGGGCCAAGAGGTATATCCACCCCAACCCTTCTTTTAGCATTCTGTATTTTATGTAAGTGGATGTACCCCTTTTGAAATTCAATCTTTCTTGCCTGTCTCCCCAAAGATATAAAAACCTTTGCATGGCTTGGATTCCTTGAAATATTTCTCCTATCTGTGGGAGTTAGCATTTCTGCTTAGAAGTCCTGAACAAGGCTCAAGTAAAACTCCATTTTTACTTCAAAGTGACTTTAATGAGGTTTTTGCTGACATGCCCTAAGCTTCAGTTTCCTTAGAAAAAAAAATGAATGCAATCATACCTAAGTGTCTGGCCCAGTAGGCAAAACAATCATAATCATAACATATAGAAAAGGTAAAGTCTCAAATTCTCACAGGCAGGGAACGAGTAAGCAATCTATGGACACACAGCAGTATTTAAAAATAGGTTTAAGAAATAATGCTAGTTGGGAAAAAAATAACAAAATAATATGTTCAGATAGAATACAACTTCCAGGTGAAGAAAGACTGCTGATGACAGTCTAGTAGGAGACAAGCTCTGTGCTAAGCACTTGGCGTGCATTACAGTCCAGTCCTCACAGGTGCCTGGTAAAGTGGCTCCTATGATTAGCCTATTTTCCAAGTAAGAAAATTGAGGCTAGCAAGGGGTGACCAAGGTCATGGAGTAGCAAGCAGGACCAAAATCCAGCCTGGCTGGCCCACTTACCTGCTGTTGCCCCAGGCAAGTTACGTAACACCCCAAGCCATTCCACCCAAAATGGAAATAAGCTCCATAGTGAAGACAAATGAAATCATCTATATGCTCAATCCTTAATCATAACGCTGCTCTGCTCTCCAACCATGTGGAAACGTCTGTGCCTAACAGCCAGCACCATCCTAGAGGACTTCCTGCCATGATGGACATATTCCAGATCCTCACTGTCCAATGCAGTAGCCACTGCCACACATGGCTCCTGAGCACCTTAAGTGTGGTGAATGTGACTGAGGAGTGGGATTTTTAGTATTATTCAATTGTCATTAATTTAAAATTCAGTTGCCATGGGGGACAACTCAGATTTATATGTTAAAAGGATGGAAAGAGTTTTTAAGAAGCCTGAACAACTTGAATGTTAAGTCATTTTTTTTCTATAAAGGTGCTTGTACTTTTTAGGTCTGGATGCCACCCATAGCCCCATGGCAACCATGCAATTCATTTTTGAATACTTTCAGAATATTTTCCCTCACATTCAACCACACTCTGCTTCCCTGAACTGTTTGCTTCTCAGTTGGGGTCTGACCTCTGGGTTATGTGAAACAAACCCAACTTTTCCTCAGGACAATGGTTCCCAGACTTCGGATTCTTAAGAATCTCCTGAGTTTATTAAAAATACATACAATAAATATACATAATAATACTTACATACTTTATAATATATATCATATATAACATTTACATAATATATATAATTTAAATATATATATCACATATAAAAATATATATATAATAGTAAATCCTACCCAGGTCCAGAGATGGAGTCCCTCAACTATTTGGAGACAACTATACCCTGTCATCTTCTCTAAATCTCCCCTTTTCTTGGCCAAGGGCAGCCCTGAGTTTTTTTCAGCTGTCTCTTTACATGGCGTATTTCCAAATTCAGCAATGGCCCAACCAAGCCCTGAGCTTAAGACAAAGAGATCCACACCTCCTTTGTTTAAGGCTGTTATCAGCCTTGGACAGCACACCTCTGCTAACACACACATCATTTTCAGATATCCTTGCATCTTAATGGCCATGTTCCTCATTAACTGCTCTTGAGACAGGCTGTACTTGTGGGTTTGGTCCTCTGTGCAGAGCTCCATCTTACTCTTGATTTAATTCAATCATCAGTCTCTGCCCAGCCCTAGCCTCTTGTAATGTACACGTGTCCTGGTCACCACCCCATGTCGGACAGGCTGGGCCTCCCAGTGTGTGTCAGCTACACACACAGTAAGCACAACTCCCAGGCTGTTCATCTAAGTCTCAACACAAATGTCTGGTATACTTTCGGAATATTTTGAGCCATTCGGGCCAGGCTCCCCAGGGCAGACGTTTGTTTGGTCTATCCAACAGTGATCTGTTTAGCAAC